CTGGGAAGAGTTTTCTCTTCCCAGGGTAATATACCGGCAGGAGAGGAAGCACCATCTGCTCTTCTGGCTGCCACCGAGAGGAAAGGTGATCCCTCCTTGCCATTCTGAGAGAAGATGCTCCGACACGCAGCTGCCCAAGCTGCCTGGAGTATGTGCCTCGGCCTCACGGAGAGGGCAGGATGGAAATGGGCTCCAGCCGCAGCTTCCTCAAAGCAGCTCGGCGAGCGTGCTGGCTCCTGTGTGTGAGCTGCAGAGGGTCTGGCTCTCCCCATCCACCAGGCACAGAATTTAGATACTCAAATCAGAKCTGTGAGGGTGGACTCAAAAGCTGGTGCCAGCCTTCGTGCCGTAAAATCTAAAGCTGTCTTCCTTCCTTAACCCTATGTCRTTTATGGGTAAAGATTTTCTTGGATGCTTAAAAAGAAAATTAAAAATGAGCAATCTGTGCTTCAAATGATCATACTGTCTATGTAAAAAGACCCAACACCAATTAGCGAGTTGCTTTTAAATTATTTTTTGCATGCAATTAACTGCYTTTTCTCTATAGAAAATTATAGTTTAGATCTTCTCACTTTGAGATTTAAAAGATCTACTCTCTTTGAGTCTGGTTATCGATTTAACAGAAGACGTGCTAAAAGATCATAAATTAATTGAAAAGCTAAATCATAGTATGGGGTAAGGAGATGTCCTTTGGGATATTTAAAGTTGATGTCAAGTCCAGAACTCTTCCTCATCTTTAATAAAGATTTAAAATCCTTTATATGGAGGCAGTTGTAATTTTTTCCATTTTCCATGGTATGGATGAATTTTGTGCCTTTTTACCATTTGCAACTGGTAAAATTGCTTTATCTGTTTATTTTTGAAATCATGTGAGGTTGTTAGACTTGCTTGCAAATAAATGCAAAGATACAAATGATAGCATAATGTAAATCAATCTAATAGCTATCACTTTATCAAGCCAATTGTATGCTGTATGCTACAATCTGTATGCTATTACAAAAGTATTAGTTTGTTTATGAATTCGATCTTTTGTGCTACTATGACAGATTGGAACAAAAGAATTTTTAATTAATCTTTTTCAAGTTTATTTAACAGCATCCAATATCATTGTCCTATTAAAAACTATAAACATTCAAATGAAGAGTTATTATACTAGTGATCTTCAACTGTTTGTCTAATGACCTTTATTTGCCTGCTTTGCTTTACTTGCATTATTTTTCAGATGCTGCCTATAACTTCCTGGATATTAGAAAAAGCCAAGGAGCTATTATTAAAATATGATTTCTATGTACTACTGCATCAGTCTTCCATTTAATTCCGTGTCTTCCATTTACTTCTGTGTCTTCCATTTTACTTCCATGATCCTGTTCATATCAGAGATTTATATCAGTGCTAAGCTGTWATTGATTTTTTCCTATTATTTTATAAGGCAGAAGGATCCATCAGATTTTCTCATTTAAAAGGGAATATGAATTAAGTATACCTGGCTTGGACAGGTATATACCAGGCTTGGATTTGTCTGTCTTCTCTGTCAGACACTGTCACTTTAGTCACCAAAACCAAGTTCTGACATGCTTATTCACTCTGACATGTGTGTCTTCTCCGCTAATATTTCCATTCATTTCAGTGGAAAAACCTACCAATTGCTCCTTAAAGGAAGCAGAATGTAGCACTTGTCCCTGCTTTTTTGTAGCAGTTCTTGGTATGTGATTTTATTGTTCCCCCTCAGTATTTGCCAGTAAATTTACTCTAATAAATTATGGTTTTGGCCTATAACCATAGGACCAGCGGTATTTGCTTTCTTAACCTTACTTGGATTTCTCTCTGCATGCAATGTTTGGCACAGGTGCTCTTTGATAATGTCTGGCATATTTGGCCAGATAAACAAAATCTCTTTCTTGTCTTCCTGTGTTTATTTCTTCTGTTTTGAATTGTAATTCTTGTTCTAGTTTTGCATAACTTGAGCTTTGGGAGGATTTAAACAGAGAAGATGTGGTGTTTTCAGCAAGTATGTCACTGCAAGCTACTTTCATTTATTTCAAGAAGCACCAGAATTCAAGAGTTCTAGCTTCTAAATGAGTGCTACAGATATATTTATGAAAAGTTAGCTGAAGCACATGAATCAGTTGAAAAAAAAAAAGGTTAAAAAAAAAAAAAAAAAAAAAAAAGAGAGAGAGAGAAAGAGAATAAGAGAGAGAGCAAGTTTGCAGATGATACTGAGTGGAGCAGCTGACACTCCAGAGGGCTGTGCTTCCATTCAGAGGCACCTRGACAGGCTGGAGAGTTGGACAGAGAGGAACCTCATGAGGTTCAACAAGAACAAGTGCAAGGTCCTGCACCTGGGGAGGAATAACCCCAGGCATCAGTACAGAATAGGGCTTGATCTGCTGGAAAGCAGCTTCACAGAGAGGGATCTGGGAGTCTTGGTTTACACCAAGTTAACCATGAGTCAGCAGTGTGCCCTCGTGGCCAAGAAGGCCAATGGGATCCTGGCCTGCATCAGGAGGAGTGTTGCCAGCAGGTGAAGGGAGGTAATCCTGCCCCTCTACTCAGCTCTGGTGAGGCCACACCTGGAGTACTGTGTTCAGTTCTGGGCTTGTCAGTACAAGAGGGATGTGGAGCTTCTAAAGAGGGTCCAGCRGAGAGCAACCAAGATGATTAAGGGACTAGAGCATCTATCTTATCAGGAAAGACTAAGTGAGCAGGGCCTATTTTGCCTGGAGGAGACTGAGCTCTTATCAATTTGTACAAATACCTGAGGGGAGAAYGTAGGGAGGAAGGGGCCAAACTCTTCTTGGTGGTGGCCAGTGACAGAACAAGGAATAATGGGTATAAGTTGAAACACAGGAAGTTCCACCTCTACGTGAGTAAGAACAACTTTCCTGTGACGGTGACAGAGCTCTGGAATAGGCTGCCCAGAGATGTTTTGGAGTCTCCTTCTCTGGAGATCTTCCAAACCCACCTGGATGTGACCCTGTGCCCTGTGCTCTAGGTGTTCCTGCTTGAGCAGGAGGGTTGGACTCTAGAGGTCCCTTCCAACCTCAACCATTCTGTGATTCTAAAATTCAAATGAAATATGTTAACAATAGTCTTCTCCTTTAGGAGGATAAGATTTAAGGATTTAAGGATTTTGTTTTCTTAGACTCCCTCTTGAACTTAATGTTGAAAATAGCATATTTTTAGGTAACCATGCCAGTATCCAGGCATTTTTTTTTAGGAAAGAACACTGCGATAGTACAGCGTAACCACAAAAGCCTGAGGATATGATAAGCTTTCAAGCTGATACTGATTTCACATTTGTGTGCATGTGTGTGTACATATGTTCATTCCATCCTCTAATGAAATGGCAGTTACATAAGTCTAAGGTTTCCTTCTTTATGTATTCCATTATGGTAAACTTGTCCTGTTCATAGCTCATTATAAATGTCTCATTCTGGTAAAATTGATTCCCTTGAGATTGCAGAGCTGGCCCTGTGAGTAGTTCCAATAATCCTGTTAGATATAATCACCTAGCAAGATTTGCTCCTTGATTTTACATTGAAATGGATTAGGAGGTTTCATATGGCCACCGATAAAACAGATTTCTAGCGGTTTTAATGCTCACYCACCCTCTCCTTCTAAACCTCTCATCTTCACTTGTCCTTCAAGATAACYCGGTGTTTGCAATCTTCTGTTTTAAATAGACATGAGATTAATGTGTCAACTACCAGCTAATTTCTCTGTTACTGGCATTTTAGCACATCCCTTATCTCTGCCTGCCTCTGAGATACTGCCTCCAGTCGCCTTGCTGTGACTTCAGCTTAACAAAACTGAATGTAAGCTCTTCATTGATACACTCTTGTCTGCCCTTCCCCTTGCCTGCCTGTAAGAAAACCACATTCTTTCTGCTTTCAAGTCTTTGGGGATTTTTTCCTTCTTTTCTGCCCATCAAACTCAGGCCATTCCTTTTCATCTTCAGCAATGCAAGGGTCACTCGCTCCACTCCTTGCCAGGTTTCTCCCCCAGGCTTGCATTACATCACACTAGGATTTCTGCCCAATTTGCCTTTCCTGGCATTTTAGAGGAATGCCAAATACTATTGCTAAGGCCACATTTCTTACTTGCTAGTTTGAACTCTCCTTTGAACCCTCTGATTTGACTAGTTTGTTAAGCTGACCTCTCTCCTGGCATGTCCTCTCTATTTCTCTATTTACTGTAACATGAAATTTTTGCTTTTTTTAAGCATCTCAGTAACTCTGCACTTTATTATCCTTATTAAAGGATCTTTATTATCCTTTGCTGAGATTCATTCTGATTACTTATACCATCATTCCTACCATCACCACCTGGTTTCCACTCATGTTTACATGGAATATCACAAACTCAGTTCTTCTATTTGTTTCTTAATGAACCCCCTATATATTTCTTTCCCTAAATTATCCCTATTTTTCTGTTTTTTGGATGAGTGCCTTTTTGGCTAGTACTCTTCAGTCCTTCGATACAGCCTAGCAAATTACTGATTACAGTATAAACAATATTATGATAAGGCAAATAAAGACTTCTTTTAAGCAGTTCTTTAAGGTAGTTTCAGGAAACACCAGTTGATCAAGTGTGCCTCATTTAAAGGCCAACCTTATGACAAGCTTACACTGCAGTCCAAAGGAATGATAGCAACCTCTATAGGCAAAACCAAATGACCTTGTTCAAATTCCTTACTCAAGCTATTTAGCTCAAGCATCTACAGAGTGAAGCACAATCTGGACCAGGAGATGGAGTTTCTATGTCAGATTTTACAGAATTTAGAGCAAGTTTCAAATCCAAATTTCATTCAGTGCATGTGAGATGTGTAAGTTCATGCAGGGATACACTTAGTCCACAATGTTCTCTGAATTATTTCATGTTCAGTGAAATTTGCCGCAGGATTCAGATTATTTCTCGCAAAACTGCATAGCTTTTTCCACATTTAAAACATCTCATTAATTTATTTCAAAACTTTAAAAGGTTGCATTAAAATTAATTACCTTCTCTTGATATTGTCGTCGTGAAGAATCCAGGGACTGAATTAGGGCAGTCGCGTGACCAACAAACATGGCATAACAAGTAGCCCCCACAATCATGCTCAACATGGTGATCCAGAGATCGGACATGCTGACAGGGGCACGGGCTCCATAACCAATGCAGAGCATATGGCTCATGGCTTTGAAGAGTGCATAGGARTACTGCTTTCCCCAGGAATCATTCTGCAAGAAAAGAGACAAGTGACTGAGCCAGCAAGCAGCTGAAGGAAAAAATCCTTTTGYGCCTATATAGCAGGAATTTAGATTACTGGCTTTGAAGGAACAGCCTGGTAATATATCCTCTGTGCGTGAGAAGAGATATTGCTCCTAAATTAACTGCTAGATAAAGCATCGGAGATTCTGTCAGATAGTGCTTAGCACTGAGATATGAAATAAATTTGACTATTTTTAAAACACGATTGTATTCTTAAAGCTGAGTCTTAACCTAATTACAAGGAGGCTAAAGGTCAATTTTATTTTACACTCCAAGGCAGGGGGATTAGAAAGAGCTGAGCATGCAGACTTATCAAGTGTGGGAGAGTGGCACTTTGTTCTAATATGCATTAGCATAGTCCCATGGTCCCATTGCTTTCTTTTCAAAGAGTTGTCCATTTTAACATACCACCTTAGTTCATTTATCAGCTTCATTTCCCAAGGAGAGAGAAAAAAAACCTTGATTTTGCATTTTTCATTAATTGCAGCAACATTACTTTGTTGTGTGTCTGTTTATCCTGTTCTTGCAATACTTTGTTTATACCAGAAACACCTCAGTTCAAAAGAACTTTGTATTCTTTTTGTTTGACCCATGCTGCCATTTGTGAAACACACCTCAAAAGAACAGGTAAATTCCCGGGTTCTGCACTCCTGACATTTAGCTACCCCTCTGAATTCTTTCCAGGACCCTGCAGCTCATTCATGGGCTTTAAGAGCTGCAAAGATGTTGTCCGCATCCTCTTTTAGCTTTATAGAGAGTCAGTCAAAGGGGCTGTTCCTGGAGAAAACCAGACATTTTAACACACTCCAAAAAGCCCTGGGAGTCCTAGTTAGCTGATTTTTTTTTTTTTTTTTTCCTATTTTCCTTGCCAAAGGAATGAAATGGGAACATTTTTATCGCCGTTGATTACTCATTGCCCAGTAAAACAAATTGTGCTTGGAGGCACACAGTGTACATGAGAAAACACAGTATTTGTTATGGAGAACTGAGAATAATTTCAGAAATGAGGAAGTAAAGAAGGATAACATTAATAGGATCAAATAGTTGCCTACTATGGCATATAATATAGAGGACAAATCCTGTATACGTAAAGAAATCTCCAAATCACAATTACATATAAAATGTGCACATAAAATATCAGTATTTGCATCTGTGTTTGCTTTTTCCTTTTTTTTTTTTTTTTTTTTTTTCTTTTTTTTTTTTCTCTCCTCAAAGAGCTCCAGGCTTTCTCTCTTGCCATCTTAAGTGCCAAGGATGCTAACTATTCTTGCTCTTTCCATCTATTTAAATCTTCTCTTTTCTAGATCTCAACAGCTAAAATAACTGGTAGCAGGGAATAAGCTAACAATTCTTGGATTGCAGATGACAAAATTAATATTTATTCACTGATACAAAATTATACAAATCCACAACTCCTCTGTTTAGATTTATTTCAATTTCTAAGTTCATGAGCTTTTCAGATTTGTGAACTTCTGTCTTTACAGTGGAAACTTGTATTGTAAATGCTTCTAAGAATAATTTTTGGTGTCTGTACCAAGAAAAAGAATTATGCTGAATTAAACKAGAACTGCTAGGAGTTTCATTGCATAATGAAATGAATTTCCTCTTGCTTTGGAGTGGTAAAAATACTCATAAAATGAAGGAACTGGAGATGCTTCAATTAAAAAATTCCAATTTGGGATTCAGGTACCCAGATGGGGTACACAAAAMCTCTCTGTCTGGGTCAATGCAGGTATCTTCATCCAGGTCCCCTATCTGTTAGGAAAGTGCCTTTACCATGCTCAAGGTATAGTGTATTTTGAAAGGCTTTCCTTCCAGCTATCCTTCCAGGTATCAGTCTCTTTTGGATGAAAGTAATCGATACGGGAATTAATACAGAACCATACCAAATTCATTGCAGCTGACAGCTGCAGTTTTATTTACACTAAACTGGGCAAAATAGGATACTTACTGTGGGGAAAAAAATGCCCTACTTTGAGGCTACAAGTACTATTATTAAAGCCACAGCATTCAGGAGGYTGGAAGATCATATCCTTAGTTCTTGCAAGCTCCATACAGTGTCCCATTACAGCATCCCATTACCCTATTTGTAATAGTGTAATGCTGCAAAATAGTTAAGGAGCAAGATACTCCGTGTCATGAATTCATCTGAATCCATATCAGAAGTTAGAACCATCAAATTGCCATTTTTTTTTACGTAGACAGCATTAGATATTATCATAGCATAGGCCAATCATTTCAGACATTTGAGGGTATGTGGTCTATCTCTGGTCCATTCCATCTCAGGATAGAAAGGACTTAGCAAGAGAAAAAGATCTGGTGAAAAAGGACTGACAAATCATTTAAGTCAGCTTGGATTTGCCTGGGGCTTTTGTTGCTGAAAATATTTGTCAATATTTTTTGATTTTTTTTTTCCTAGTAGTCAATCAGTTCTTGTAGAAGCAGACTCACATTCTGTTTTTTGGTTTTGTTTTCAGTTTCTGTGGGGTTTTTATATATTATGCTAAATGAATATTATGTGAAGGGTAAGAAAATCAGTATTTGCTTTTTTTTATTGAAGGATTTCAAATTTCAGTATTTACTTGTTCTTTTTCCATTGATTTAGGTGACACATAGAAATAACTTTAAAGGATCACTGTTTCTCATGTCAAATTCTATAAATCATGTACACTACCACCAATTTAACTATATAAAATCAGTATAACAATTATTGCAGTATTTTTCAGTTTCCATTGTATAACCAAAGGGTTTGGAAAGAACAACTTTGTTCAGTGTGACAGGTTGGAATTTTCCACAACTGGACTCCAATGTGCTGCTCTTTGCTATATGAAAGTGAGGTCTTACCAATTCTCTTACTTGCATAGAGATTTTTTTCATTAGAAAGCATTTTTGCACTTGCCTCATAAGGCAATTTTTACATAACACCCTCATAGATAATATCCCTGAATTGCTTACAACCCATCTTACGAAATAAAGACTACTGTGTTTACATATTCAGCTTTTCTTTAACATAATTGTTAAATATTAACAATATTTATTAGGTAAATATACACTAAATATCTCCCTAAATATTCATATTTCCTATGTATAGATTAAAAAAAAAAGAAATCTATGAGATGAAAACAAATCCAACTATCCTGTAAAAAAGTGTATTTAATTTCTTAGTTGACAGCAGGCTGATCATTGCTTCCAGATTAGCAGTAATCGGTTTAAAATGTTTTAAATGAAATGACATTAATTTGGAAAAACTATTAAAGACCGTAATTGTGAGAAATACCAAAGCTGTTTATCCAAGGACTGGTTATATAATCTAGCTTGATGACATTAAGAAATCCTCACATTTGTACAAGCAACAATCACTGATCATTTGCAATTAGTTTTGTAAGTATATGCATTAATTTAGCAGTTATCCTAAAGAATAAATTCATCACAGGACACTCCTGATTTTCACGGGTCTGTTTGCAAGCCTGTTCTCTGACTGGAGGTTGTTATCTTTTACCTCATAATTTCCCATAAACCTGTTCCAAATTCCTTTCCGTAATGTCATAAGGTCATAAAAATAAATCACAAAAGGGCCAAATGTGACCTTTTGAAGGGCAGAAATAAAAGGCAAATTATTTTTTCTCAGTTGGATTAAGAAAGGGGGTTCTATGTTACTGGAATCTATGGAAATTATTACTAGGAGATTTTTGTTGGTGGCACACAAATCAATTCTACTGCCACATTGTAGTTTTACCCCGCATCGTGGCCTATTTTCCCTCAGCCATACCCCTACGTGGATTTGAAAATCATGTAAGAGGGAGCTATTGCAGGGATGCTAGCGGCTTCCAAATTTTGACGGAGTTACTTTTTCCTTTCCCACCATGGTAGTGCATGTGTCACTGACACTCCACTCACTTTGCAGGGCCAAAGACTCAGGAGTTAAACAACATGATCCTGAACTCAGATTCCTCATTCTCCTTCACGGATGTGAAGCTGGAGAGGGGAAGCAGACTTTCCTACCCAGAGCTTTCCTCACTATCAATAGTACAAGGGTCCAATATAGCCTATGGATTCTCATGAAAATGAGAGAGATCTGAAGAAGGGAAGATAGATGCTCAACTTGGCAGGAGAATCTGTCCTACAAGAGTAAAATAACAAGAATCAGAGAGCATTTCCAAGCTCTTTAATTGATAGGTATGTTTGTGGCATGGTGTTGGTCCACTAATACCAAGCCTACCTGGGAGCTGATAGGGGCAAGAAACTGTTTTTCTTATCAAATCCGATATCATTTAACTTCACTGGCAAATCTTCCCAACTGTTAAACTTAACTTTCCATAAACTCTCTATTGACCTCAAAATGTTCTGGATTTGCAATCTGCATGTCTACAAGTATTGATTCTGCTCTCCTAAGTTTCAGAATAAGTTACGTCCGTTAGTAGTAATACATACATAATAAGACTAGAGTCAGGTCATTATGCAAAACCTGTCATTTCAACATTCATAAATATATTGATATGGATATACAGCTTACATACTTGCTCATCAATCAAATATATAATTTACTGCCTGTGGCTTTACACAGTACCTTAGAAAGTCACTGTAATCTCAGACAACAGATCACGCCAAAATACTGCCTACATACTTCAGCTTTCAAAGAAGTTGTCTGAGTATCACAGTGAGTAATCCAGCCAGCCAAAGGAGAAGGTTTTTAGCAATTCGTGTTTCAAAACTTACGCAACAGTGAATTGGTGAAACTACTACCATGCCAAATCCAATTTCCTTACCTCAGCTATTACTATTTAGAATCTCTAGCTGTTTTCTAAAACACAAAGTGGAATCAGACTTGAGAGGATAAAAAGATCTGCTGTTATTCTAAAAATCTTAAGAAGTGGCAGGAAGAAGCATATATTTTAGGTGTATGTCCATATGATTTAAGGGAAAAAAGTCTGAATTGTTAAGCTCAATGGGATACGCAGATGTCTTCAGA